AAAAAAAAAAAAAAGACATTTGATCACAAATGCACCTCAAATTTTAAATTAGAAATGACTAGAAATAGTAAATGGTAATGCTTACACATACATCCACACATGTCTACACACTCACCCATCAATAAATTATATTCTAAAACAATATTTCAGCAATAAAAATGGGTCATAACACAAAATCAATACTAAACAGATGGCATCATATTTACCATCACATCCTCTCCATTACTTTTTCACCCATTCTCCCTCACCCTCCAGTAGCCCATTTTGGCCAGGATCAAGTGGAAGGGGCTCATTGCTATGGTTGCCAGTAGCAACCAGAGTTCTTTCGTAGGTTCAAGAGATGACAAAGACCTTGCAGATAATAAAATCTCAAAGCAGTAACACTTAAGCAATGGTCATAGCTTTTTGTACTTTCTTAAATAAGGCTTTTTTCCAGGATTTCAAGGGAAAAAGTTAAGCTCTCAATTAAGGAAAAACAAACTGGTTCACAGGCCAAATTTGGCTCAATGCCTGGTTTTGTAAAGAAAATTTTTATTAGAAGATATCCATGCTTATTTGTTTATGTATTTGTCTATGGCAGAATTGAGTACATATGGCCCATAAGGCCTAATATATTTACAATCTGGTCCTTTATCAAAAAAAATTTTGCCAGCCCCTATTCTAAACTGTAGCTACCAAAATACTGAGACTACCCCTAAGAATACCTGTACCAGCCCTCCCAATCCAGCTGCGTCAACCTCAGAATTCACTCTATAAATGCACATTCACTCCTGTCTAACATGTACATTTATCAAAGGTAAAACAGATTTGGAAGGCTCTCAGATACATGGAAAATGGAATCCAAAGCAATAGCTAGCAAGAATATCAAAGTTAGCAATACTGATCTTTTTCTCCTTGTGATAAATTGCTGGCATTTCTACTGGAATATGGGCACACTGGTTCATGTCGGATGAACAAGTAACAGCTGATAGTTAGGGGAAGCTCTGCTTTACATTCAATTCTAAGCCTTCAAAGTCCCTTCCAACCTGGAGACTCTAAGATTTTAATGCAACACAAATATGGGCATAAATTCAGTAACTGAAAACTCAAATTACCCATGGTTAAAAATGATCAAATGAGAGAACTGATGGGATTTGGGGGTAGGGAGTCCAGTTCTGTGATATCACCAATAGCTCTCCTGGGTTATCAATTGCAGGAGGCCCAAGTTTATCTACTGTCACTGGGTCACCACTTAGACAAGTGGTAGAGCTCAGAGCCCAAATCCATCTCTTCTCAGGGCTGAGGGAGCAAATAAATAGTACAAGCTGCTACAGGAAATAAGCCCAGTGGGTCAGGCCCATGATCTCTCCAACCTTCCACAAACAAGGAAAAATAAGGGGTCTGGAGGGTTAGGTTTATCTAAGCCACAGGATAGGTACCTTGCTGGTCCAAACCAAAGTTCAAACCTGACCATTTCTGAAGAACAGCAAACAACATGTAATTCTGGAGTCACTCACCCAGGTGAGAGGGTTGGCCTCAGGTCGAAGGGCAGGGAATGCATCTCTGTTTATAAGACCCAGTTTTACAAATCCATTCAAAGCTTTGGCATACCCCTATAAAAGAATTATTAAGTAGTGTATGAAATTTTTCCCTTCAAAGAAAAAATTTAAAATGCTTTTTTGAAAAGAGGGATCTGTCTTTGTAATTCATGTAGAAGATAGGCTGAAAGTAGTCATCTGACTTGCCTGTATGGATGCAAACACCTTCAGGTTCAGACTGGAATCAAGAGTGTCACAGCAATTCTGCTGGCTTACCTAAAAGACCTTCAAAGACTTGGGTCTTTACTTCTGTTTCTGAGTAACATGGGAGGGGTATTTCTGGCAGGAGAAGGGCAAATGTCCTCATGTGTTATGCCCTTCCAGCTCAGCAGAATAGTATTTAGCAGAACAGTTCCCTCTCTTATACCCCACAAAAGAGATAATCCATTCTGCTGATTAGGAGCCACTATCCTAATGCACATAGGGAACAGGAAGAGAGGTAGGAATCAGAGAGCTTCTTCTGAAATCACACGAATGTGGGGGAGGGGAGCCAAGGAGAAGGAGTTGGGAAGGATCCCATGGGAAGGTGACAGCAAGCTGGGTCTGCAAGGACACGCAGGTAATAGGCAGGCGCAGGAGAGTAACCAAGGCCTCTCTGTCATACTCAGATGATAGTGTCTCATCTTTAATGTTGGAAAGAATATTTGGGTTACTGAGGGGTAACTGAAGGCATTGCCCAGAATGGTGACCCTCATGGATATGAACACTGCAACATCTTCCACCTTCTGGGGTTCTGTGGGAATGGCTGTCATCCATACACATCCTTGAGAGCTTTATTTAATTCTTAAAGCTCTTTTTTTTAAAAAAAAAGATTTTATTTATTTATTTGACAGAGAAAGACACAGCGAGAGAGGGAACACAAGCAGGGGGAGTGGGAGAGGGAGAAGCAGGCTTCTCACTGAGCAGGGAGCCCAATGCGGGACTCGATCCCAGGACCCTGGGATCATGACCTGAGCCGAAGGCAGACGCTTAACAACTGAGCCACCCAGGTGCCCCAATTCTTAAAGCTCTTAAAATGTTCTATTCCTGGGTCTGTATGTTTGGCAAGAGACTATATCTAAAGCTATCAGAAAATCTTAACTCCTGGGGTGCCTGGGTGGCTCAGTTGGTTGAGCATCTGACCCTTGATCTCAGCTCAGCTCTTGGATCTCAGGGTTTTGAGTTCAAGCTCCATGTTGGGCTCCACACTGGGCATAGGGCCTACTTAAAAAAAAAAAAAAAAAAAAGACTAAAGAAAATCCTAATTCCTAAACCCTTCCAAAAATGCAACTACTATATTCTTAGAACAAAATGAAGAAAACAGAATCAAGAAATCTGCCAGCACTGAGGATGTTACGGCTTCAGTTCAGACTAGAGTTTCTGCTGTGCTTAGAGGCTTGTGGAACATCCATGGTTCCTAGATCGCCTTTGGTTGTCTTCACTGACCATCTTGTTTGATTCCTGGATCATGAGGACATCACATTCACAGGAGTACAGGTACCTGCCCTCTAGGAGCTTACAATCATTTTCAGGAGGCAACAGAAATATACATAAAAACCTAACTAAAAGTGCTGCTCAGTGCCAATAAATGTAATAAAAGCTTTAAAGAGTAAGAACTATAGTGGCTTTCTCTCTTTAAGAATAAACAGGAGTAATGTATGGTAATTAACATAACATAATAAAAAAAAGAATAAACAGAAGTTGGGGTGCTTGGGTGGCTCAGTCCATTGAGCAGCTGACTCTTGATTTTGGCTCAGGTCATGATCTCAGGGTGGGGCTCCATGTTTGGCAGGGAGTCTGCTTGAGGATTCTCTCTCTCCCTCTCCTTTGGCCTCTCTGCTCTCGCTCTCTCTCTCTAAAATAAATACAAATCAATCTAACAAATAAATAAATAAACAGGAGTTGATGTGGAGAAGCAAAGCAAACCAGAAGCCAGACTTCACGTGCCAACACTGTGGAAATAACCTCTGCTTTTACGTGAATTTTGTGCACACAGGAAAAACACCACCAGTGTTCACTGACTCCTGAGGCCCACCCCACGTAAGGAAGGGGGACAGGAAAAGTTCTGGATGAGGGACCTGTGATCTTAAATAACATGGTATGGAAAGCCTCATGAGAGCCAAGTCCTGAAGGAGCCAAACGAGAGTGTGAAGATATCTGAGTGAAAAAGTTCCGGGCAAAAGCAGCAGCTAGTGAAGAGAAAAGAGCAAGGGGAAAGCATGCACAAGAATGGAAGGGTTATCACCAATGGGCCTATGTGTCTTCCATCTTCCAGAGAAAAAGATCATTAGTGAATGGTGGATAACACCACATGACAAACCCCCTTTCTGCCCTCACCAGGAAGTCTCATGGGGCATCGAGATCTAAAACCAGATCTTTGATTTTCAGAGAGGTGGTATGTTAGAGATGCTGCTTGGGGTGGGTTGAGAAGTGTCTCCCTCATAATTCACATCTACCCAGAACCTCAGACTATGACCTCACTGGGATATTTGCAGATATAATTAGTTAAGGATCTCGATATGAAACCAATCTATATTGAAGGTAGACCCTAAGTCCAATGACTGGCGTCCTTACAAGAAGAGAAGAGGACAGAGGGACACACACAGAAGGTGGTGATATGAAGAGAGAGGCAGAGATTGGACCAGTGTGCCAAGTTAAAGAACACCAAGAATCGCAAGCAGTCATCAGAAGTAGAGGAGAGAGACATGGAACAGTTTCTCCCTCCAAACTTCCAGAAAAAAAAACAACTCTGCCCACACTTTGATTTCAGACTTCTGGCCTCAAGAATAGTGAGAGAATAAATTTCTGTTGTTGTAAGCTACATGGTTTGCAGCAATTTGTTAGAACAGCCCTAGGAAACTACACTGATTGTCTTAATCTGGTCATTCTTGTCACTACTCTTTTGTGATTAATACTTAAATGTGTGGTGGACATTTGCATTTATACCCCTAGAATCTACGCCCCACTTTGTGGTAAAAACATTTTAGATTTGCTTTGGGGAAAATGATGCTGACTATATCTTCAGCTTTCAGGACATGAAACAAAAGGCAAAAGCTGACTGGCATATTTTATCCCACTGACCCCACTGATATTTTCAGCTATACTTTTTCATTCTCACTGGATTTGAACCAAAGAGGCTGGGAGCGCCGTCACCACCGTGCCCTCATGTACCGCCTGGGACTGCAGCCAGCACTCCAAGGAGGAGGCGAGAGGCAAAGAGAAACCAAGCGCCCCTGAGGTCACTTGACCCCAAACCTCACTATATCTGGAGGTGACCCTTCCCCTCCCCCCCAAGTCCTCATGAGTCAGAAGTTCCCTGTTTGCTCAGGCCATCTTGAGCTGTCTCTTAAAACATTCACTCAAAGAGTGCTGAGAAAACAGACTCCAACCTGGTTTATTATCCTAAGTATTTTGATTACTAAGAAAAATTAAGCGTACACATCACTTACATCAAAACAGGAGACATGTTTCATCTCAAATACAGCTGCTTACCTTATATCTCAGTGTCCCCCGCAGCAAAGTGTGCGCAGATGGAATGCCGTAAATCTCAGCATATTTTGTACTGTCTCTGTTAGGATAGCCTTCCAAATTTAAGCCAGGGAAATAATCCATGGGAGTAACTGCATCAAGAAAGGAGATGCCCCCTGCAACATTCACAACCTGAAGAACATTGAAAACGCACAATGGGGTTACAACATTGTGCTCCCCTGTGGACTTATCTGCATTATTTGCATAAAAAAGAAATCAACAGGGTGCCTGGGTGGCTCAGTCGTTATGTGTCTGCCTTCGGCTCAGGTCATGATCCCAGGGTCCTGGGATCGAGCCCCGCATCCGGCTCCCTGCTCAGCGGGAAGCCTGCTTCTCCCTCTCCCACTCCCTCTGCTTGTGTTCCTGCTCTCGCTATCTCTCTCTGTCAAATAAGTAAATAAAATGTTTAGAAAAAAAAAAGAAATCAACATTTTAAAAGAAAGCAATAGAGGATTTGAGAAAAAACATTTTAATGAAACTACCATAACTGACATCCCATACTCAAGCGATTCCACTAACAATTCAGAAGGCCATGATTCTCCCAAGCTTTAAAATCTGACTTAAATCTAGATAAGATGGCACTGAATTATGTCCCATTAGGGGTTTGTTTTTAAATAAATAATAAGCAAAAAGCAACAGACCCTCATTTCAATGGCTATGCTCAGATAACAGTGGCAAGATCCTCACTTCACTCTTCACTTACACATGCCTTTGAATGTTGCATATCAGGCACCAGTCTTGTACATTTCTGTCACAGCTAGCATTAACGGGGCACCTACCATGTACGTGCCAGGACCACACTCATTGTGGAGGGAAGGAGAGTGATGAAGATGAAGAAGTTGCAATCTCTGTCTTCATTCCCTCCTTCATTCACTGAACAAACATTTACTGAATGTCCGCCCAGTACGAGGAGCTGTGCTGGAGCAAGTACAAGGAGCTCACAGCCTGGACTAGTCACCCTACGGGTGTACGCTGGGGACAGGGAATGGGAGAGATGTCCCCTTACAAGAAAGACAACGTGTGAACATACAGCGAAACTCAAAGAAGTGCTACCCCTTAGTGCTAGTGCTAGTCTTACTGCTGGTGAGAATTAGTCAATTCCCAAGCTCTTCTGATTTCTCCGTAATCCTCCTACCTGCTCCCTCCCCAATCACAGTCAAAAGGCACCAAAGCGTATTTTTCCCTTTGATTTTGATGAAAGGACTAAATTGTTCTTTTGGTGTGTGAAGTTTATGAGATGATGAAAAACATTCTGGCGTGATCAAATCAGGGCTGAGAATCTGGGGGCTGCTGGTAGAACTGGGTTTGTCCCTCCTGCACCACTGGAAACAGCTTCTGACCACACGTCTGCAGCTGCAAAAACCACCCAAAGGAGTCTTCTGCTAAACTTAATGAGCCCTAGAGTTTATTTGTAGATAGGTTCTGCCTGTGCCTTGGTCTGAGAGAGAAAAAGGAAATGTCTGTGTAGGTCGCTGAAGGCCCAGAAGGAAATGGGCATTGCTGACTGGAATCAGGCCTGGTGACATCTCTGCAGTTAAAGGCTTAGGTGTGCAGAGCACCAAGCACCACTAAAATTCCAGGAGTGAGAGCTGAAGGACTCAAGGAGGACTTCTCATTTAACTTTCTCAGGAAACTCCCCTGGACTACACAGTGAGCATTTCCAGAGGGACCATTTCTGCCCTATGGCTTTCACACTAATCTCTTCTATCAGAATAGTAAAATTAGAAAAAAAATCTAATAAGCAAGCAAATGTTAACCTTTGGGGTCCCCACACACACATCTCACTTCTAGAACTCATGGCAATTCTAAAGTTTGTTTGTTTTTTACTTATTTGAAGGTGAGGAAATTGTTTTAAAGAAAAATTCTGTAGAGACTACTTATATTCCAGCACTTTACCAATCAGAAAGAAATCAGCTGGTTCATAAAAGTTTATCATCAGATCCTTGGAAGAAACTAGGGAAATAGCAACTGAATAGTCATGATTCACTTAGAGACTGACAGCTGCCAAAACAACTTGTCCCCCAAATTCCTGGGTAATCACTGTCACTTGACCTCAATGCAGAGTTGTATTTCTAGGGCTATATCGTGGGGTTCATGAATAAGCCCTATCCTGTTTAATATTTTATTAATGGCTTCGATGAAGAAAGACATATTTATTTATTTGGCAGAGAATATGCATTTTTTCTGACTCGACGGTGCTCACTCCCAACACCCACTGGGAGCAGAAATAGTGGCTCATGACCCACTACGGCCACAGGCTGCTCTAAACCCAGCTCTTCCCACACCCACACGTCTTTCCCCAACCACTGACTGACAATAAGCTTGATCGCTAAAGTGACAAAACATTTAAATACAGGAAATACAGGACTTGTTCTGAGCTAGGTGCCTTATACACACAAAACTGAGAGTCACCCAGAGGCAGATTTGAACCCGGATCTGTCTGACTCCAATGTCCACGTTCTTTCTACTACACCATACTGTCCCCCTAATTGTGCTTATTTGTGGATCAGTATTTCAAGAAGGCTACTGATTGACAAGGTGCAGCATTCCAATCATGACACTTGCTAACTGCATTCAAAATGGTTGCGGGCAATGGAGAGTAGCGGCTCTTCCTACAAAGGAGGGCTGGGTGCTGCAGTCCAGCTAGGGGCAGGCAATGGGAAGAAAGCTACAAAACCTATCTTAGAGCTGTGTTTTCAGAGCAAGCATGATCCCGAGAGTATTTGTTTCACCGGGAGTCGCTTAGGAGAGGGGGCCAAAGGAGATGATGGTGCTCTACCACGTCACTCCCCAGAGCCACCGATGTCCCACCACCCTCGAACTAAAAGAAGACACAGCCACTGTCTTCCAAATATGTGGAAGGGAATCGTATTTGCTAGGAGTACTATTAGAAGTTAGAAGTTAAAAATGGTGCCAGTGGCTGGAAATTCCTGCAAGGATGTAGGACAGTAAGATACATCCTAGTTCATAGGCCACTGCCTGAGATGCTGGAAAAGTTTAAGTCTTCAACCTTAAGCAGAAGCCAGAGAGGTCACCTGAATCTCCATCGTGATTCCCTGAATTATATAAGGCCTGCTTCGTGGTGGGGGTGATAGCGGCAGAGGGGATGGAGGGACAAGAATACAAGAGAAGCTTTAAGAAGTTTAACGATCTGGGCTGGGAGACACACAGATGCACTTGAATTACTGAGCAAATAATACAGCATCCGGAAGCTTCTTACAGACCAAGTGTGGGAGTCTGGACAAAAGAATAGTGAATGGGGGCTGAAGTCGTCAGGAAAAGCTGCATCCACAAGAGGGAACTTGAGTGGGACCTTGAAAAAAGTATCATTTTAGCAAAGAAAAGAAAGGCATCGTGTTTTCTCTCAGCCTCCCCCACAGTGTCAGGGAGATGCAAAAAGCATTCCTTTTTTACAAAAGGAGTTTGGGATGAAAGGGGAAAACTTCAAATTCAATATATACAACTTCTGCTGCCTGAAAATAACCTCTTGCTTTTCCTGAGCACTCACCACCCTCAATTTCTTTACATAGCTAATTTTTGCGGGGGACTTACGCCCTGCCTGAGAACCTGCTGTTAAGCAGATTACCAGCTATTAGACCCCAGGGAGCCCCACTGCAAGTACTTATCTTCAGACCAGGAGCCCAAAGCTCAGAGAGATTCACCAAGTTCTAGTACCACCCAGCTGGCCAGGGCAAAGTCAGGCCCACTAACATCAAAGCCTGCTCTTTCTCACACACAGGCTGCACTCTGCTGACCCTTCCATGGTTATCACCTTTTCATTTATATGGCCTCCCGAAAATAAGCATTTGCCCAATGGAAGCAAGAAATTTTCCCTGCATTCACGTATTAGTGTACACCAAACATGGGCCAGTCTCTTTATCAGGACGGCAGGAGGTGGAAGGAGATTCTACACGTGACAGGAGGCAGGCAGTGGCACATAAGGACGTGCTTTGCAGAACGTCAGACTGTTTCGGGCCCAAACCTTCATGATTCTCAGAAATGGAGAACTGGGTGGGACATCAGTAGCCACATTACCATCAGGAGACTGATGCCCAGTGGGTCTTTACCATTGCCTGGACTTTGGTGGTGCGGTGAAGGATGTCAGCACTTGGACCGGAACTCAGGGGTCCTGGTTCATATCCTGAAACACATGCATGTGTAGCATCAAAGTGTCCTGCTTGTTTGCTAGTGTTTTAAGTGCAGCCACATATGGTCCTCTGGTCACTAAGTCAGCTCTTCTCAAGTTCAGCTGCACATTAGAATCACTTGGGGAGTTTTTGAAGGTCCCCAAACCCAGGCAAATCAGCACCTCTGGGGATGGGCCCAGTCATCATTATGTTCTATTTTCTAAACTGCCTGATGATTCCAATGTGCACCTAAGGCCACGATGTACACTCTACGCATCGTAAGCACAGAAGACAATGCCTGATAAGAACGTTCACTTTGTGCCTTTCAACTTACTCCTCTGTACACAAAATACGTTTAAATTCAGACACACTGGGAATTTAATACTGCTGCTTGAATAATCTTTGTAAGACACGCAGCTGATCACATCATTCACCACTCCCTACAGGGCTAGGGAGAGGTGAGGTGTCCAGAGCACAAAATTTCAAGAGAAGCCCTTAGTTCCGTCACATGTGTTCCTCACAGGAATCTTTCCTTATGGCCACAGGCATGAACCAGGAAGGCAAACGAGCGTGCTGTGGGCCCCGGCTGTGCCACGTGTGGTCTCTTGGACTGTGGCTGAGCTAGCTACACTTCCTACGCTTCCTACTGAGGTCGCTAAGCCACCTAGTAGGGTGGTCGCAAGAATCAAATGAGGTTGGTGCTCAGCAGTTAAGGTGGCAGCATCCCTGCCCAGCTGGCACCTGCTTATCCTCCCAAGCTAAGCACATCTCTTTTCTGCTTTCCTCCCCCCCATCCTCGCCAAGGTCAAACCAACTGCCCTCTCATCTGCGCTCTGTGGCACTGCAGCATACTCTAGAACTTCTCTTGCTGGAGCTTAGCCACTTATCCCAGTGTCTGTCTTACCTCCCATGAGGCAATCTGGTAAAAGAGAAGAGAAAACGCTTTGGGATTAGTTAGACGTGGGTTTGAATCCCAGCTGAAAAATCGTGAACATTCTCTTTGAGCCACAGTTTCCTTACCGCAAGATGATGAAAATAACACTGAATTAATTCTGACACACAGCAGCTGGGAAAGAAAGTTAGCTCCTTTCACTGACCCACTAAACCCTCCATTCCAAGAGCCACCCCCATTCCAGCTATGAGTTCTCCGAGGTCAGGAACTTCATTCAATGTGACAACCTTGAGCAGGGACTCAGCACATATTTAGGACACAGTAAATGTTTGTCCTGCTGAAATAAATCACAAGACGACCTGTATTTATATATGCACAAGTTGAGAAATAAATTTTCAAACTGCAGAAACAACTTGCAAGAAGGTGAAGAAGAAAGAATGAGCACAGGCGTTGCTGGAAACAGCATGTAGACCACACTAAGTGGAACAGAAAATACCCACTGGGAAACACTGGTGGAGGAGAGAATGGAGGACACACAGAACAGCTAATATCAAAGGTCTTGGTATCAGGGAGGAAGAGTGTGGACTTTCTGAGACAGTTACTTCAGGTTTGTATCTCTAAAGCTTTGCTGATAATCCTTCACCTTTCCATTGAGCAGGTAGGTAGCCGGCTGCATTATGTTCATCAAAACTCCCACTGGACTCCAGCTAAATTTGTATCTCAAAGGATTGTCTGAATGTTCAGGGGCTGGAAGCCCACCACAGTAGGAAATATAAGATTCAATCTGTAAAATAAGGGATGAAAGACAATGACAGAAATGGGGTAAATGATGTAAACTCGCTGTTTTTTTTTCTTAAACTTAATAAAGGCTTTCAAAAGCCTTCCTTAAAGCCTTTAAGCCTTCCTTAAAGCCAAATGCTATTTGATTAAGTCAGTTATATTATATATATATATATAT